GAGGCACAGGGAGGCACAGGGAGGCACAGGGAGGCACAGGGAGGCACGGAGCTGCAGCTCGGCCCTCCCGATCGCCAGCGCGCTGCTCCAGGGCAGCCCCTGGCTCTCCCGGGTCTTTCTGCGCCCACAGACGGGGGTTAATGCACGCCCGGGGCCGGCGGAGGGAACGCCCGGCGGGGATCAGCTGTCTACACCCGCTCCCCTTTCCCAAGCGCATTCACGGCTGGGACAATGAAAACACCCCCTCCTTGATTTTCTTATCACAGCCTCAAAGATCAGCCAGAAGGGACGGCCCCAAGAGCGGAAGCGGTGGGCGCTCAAAGCACCTGGGCACACACGGGGGTCTGCTACTAAATGTTTAACAACCGTCTCTCTGAAAACAAGCGCGCACCATCATTATCAATCCACAGCCATTCGGGGCTCCGGGGCTCACTCACCTCTGGTGCTGCCCGGCGTAATGGGGGGTGCGCGTCACGTACTGAGCCCCCAGGTCCGCCCTGCACTGGGGGTCGCGGGGGCTCTGGGCCGTGGCCATTCTTCCCCCTGCAGGGACGGACGGGCAGACAAGGTTCAGAGGGCGGGGCACAGAGAGGCGTCTGATGCTCTTTTAACACAAAAGTTTGGGTTTGGAGCAAACCAGCAGGAGGGGCTCTGGGGAAAGGGGGGAGCGGCTGCAATCTCGCTTCTGACACTTATTCCCCATGGACTTCATTTTCTGGGCCTCAGTTTCCCCACCTGTAAAATGGAGAAGCTTGGACTGGATGACCTCCAAGATCCCTTCCACAAAACGGCAAGATACCAGTTACTACTTATGTGACGCCCCCCGCCCCGGGCCTCCGTTTCCCCCAACGCACTTCGAGGTCTGGGGCCCCTAGAGTGTTGCACAAGCCCCGCCCCCAAAGGAGGAGCCAATGGGGGACAGATGCTGCCGGCCTGGTCCCAGGTCAGCATGTGCCCAGAAGCAGCTTCCTGGGGATGACGTCACCGGCTCAGCTGAATAAAAGCTGGGGAGGGTGTAAGAGACGGGGCGGGGCTCGATGATCTAGGACCGCGGAGGCGGTGTCCTGACGCGCATGCGCGCCCTCCCCCTCCCTTCCGAGCTGGCCACGCGCCCTCTAGCGATGAGCTCATGGCCGCGCATGCGCTCAGAGCTCCGCGGGAGCCGGAGGAGGGAGCTCTGGGATGCGGGCCTCAAGCACACACCTGCGTCGCGGGCCTGCTCCCACACCGCCACGCTCACGGGACGTCCCCGCCTCAGCAGCGCCGCGCACAGGCCGCCCGTGAGCCCCGCGCCCACGACCAACACGCGAGCCATGGCGGCTCTGCCGAGCTCAAACCCGGCGCCTCGCCCCACCCCCTGACCCCTAACCCCGAGGCGGCCTCCTCCCGGGGGTCACGGCGCGTGCGCACCTGCGTAGCTGGCGTACGATAGGCCAGCTGAGGCCCCAAGTCAGGGAGAAAGTTCGGAGGGGTCAGAACCAAGCCCCCAGCCCCACCCCAAGCTGCCTGTAGCCCCACCCGTGCTCCTGTGCTCGCGGGAAACTGAGGCTCAGAGAGGTAGGCGGGGGCAGGATTGGAACCCAGGGCCTCGTCCAGGGCCCCCCGCCGACCATCCCCCTTTACACGAGTCTTTAGCTTCCTGTGCCTGAGCCCCTTGGGAGGCGGATCTGAACCTTATTAAGCGCCTGCTGAATACCACGTCTGCTTTGGCTCCGCGTGAAAAGTCTGAACCCCCACGAACGGCCCCAGACCTTGGGGTCCCGGGGCAGATAGACAGGCGCCCCGAGTCCTCATGGCCGCAGAGACTGCTTACCTCTGGGAACGAAACAGGCCAAATTTAGCCCAAGGACGGTTAACCAACCAACATTTATTAATGGCCTGCTGTGTGCCAGGGCCCCCCGGGGACAGAAGGGGAGAAGGGAGCCACCCCTGCTCGCGGGGACTGGGAGCCCTGCAGTTCTGTTGGACCTGTCCGAGCTGGGACAGTGATCACCTCCTCCGACTCGCGCCAACAGGAGGCTTTTAAAGAGGACGTTAGCGGAGGTTGGTAGTTTTTAAGACCCAGAATTGCCTCCATTAGGAAGTAGCCACAGTAAGGAAGGTAGCAGCCGGTGTTCCGGCCTTTTCTATGGTTACTTGGGGAAAAGCAGACTGCCCCCACCACCACCACCACATTTTTATTTCTTTTTCTTTAGATTTTTTTTAAATTTTTAACATGTGTTTTTAAAACTTTGGGTTACAAATTTTCTCCCTTCCTCTCTTCCCACTCACCCTCATTGAAAGGGCAAGCATCTCCATACAGGTTGTAGATGTGTAGTCATGCAAAACACTTCCACAGTAGTCATGTTGTGAAAAACTAAGTGTATTTCCCTTCATCCTATCCTACCCCCAATTTATTCTGTTCTCTTTTTTGACCCTGTCCCTCCTCAGAAGTACTTGCTTCTGATTACCCCCTTTCCCAATCTGCCCTCCCCTCTATCAACCCCAAGCTCTCTTGTCCCCTTCCTCCCTTATTTTCCTGTAGGGTAAAATAGATTTCCATACCCCAT